ATTAATAATGAAATAATTTTATTATATAGTTAGTTTCTTTTTTAATATTAATATTAATATTTTTATGAATTATACTTTCAAACTTTATCTCTAACTGTAATACATATTTCGATTTAATTAACTTTAAGAGTATTTTACTAAATTAACAAGTTTTTGTTTATTAAGAAAAAATTATTAGTTTAAAAAATTGTATTAAAACTATATAGATTATTTAGCAAACTAAATATTGTGAAGAAAAAATTGAAATAATATATTAGATATATGACACTTATAATATTTTTACTATATTCAAGCCTGCATTAATATAGAAGAAAAATATATCATATTGAATTTTTAAAGACATAATACTCTACTTAGAGATATTTCAAAAATAAAATTATTTGTTAGTATTGTTTTAAAAGTTAAAAAAATCAACTTTTGGAACTGTACATAATAAATCATTCTTTTCTTCTGGATGTTTGCGCTGAATAAAAAGAAAATATATCTATAACTAGTATTTCTTTTGGAATAAGTATACTTAAATTAATATTTTTAATTATATAATTAATTATTTGTATAATAGAAGTATAAATATACAAAAATTCAATATACATATTATTTTGGCTTAATGTTATTTCAAGTATCTTTGATATACATGAAAAATTGAAACATATATATTATCGAGTTAATAGTATTCACTTTATTTAATCACTATAACTATCACCATATAAACATATATAGAATATGAAGAAATTGAAAAGATGTTGACATTGAGTTTAAAAACAGTTCTAAAATAACCACAGAGTTTGGCACTGGACCAACTATACATATAATAGCTGCATTATTAGACTTATAAAGATTTACCAGACCAGTGATTCAGTGAAAATAACTGGATATATTTATAATAATGCTCAACCAACACTAATCTTACTGGCATTATCAATGAATTTCGATATAATAACTACTCATGTAAAAAGGGGCGTCATTTAGAATCTTAGTAAAGCTAGAAATTTAATGCAAGTAGTTAATTCTTTGAATAAGTGTATGAGATATATGCAAATTCTGAATACTACATAATTAAATAGAATTTATTTAACCCCCGATTAGAAATGAATCTATTAGGATAATAAGTCTGCTTGTTCTCAATGCATATGCATAAATAAGCACATGCGAGAAAGTTCTATAAGTAGTATTGTCAACTGGATCACATTGGACTGCTGGACTTAGTAATTCTATAAGTTCAATATAATCCAGTCCAGTAACTTCTGGTTACTTGACATAAAAAGATGCTAAAAAAAAAAGGGAAATTAAAGAGTTGAAAAGTCTATTGAACAAAGCACACTTTCACAATTTTCTGTCTTTCAAATATTTTTTGTATTCATGCTATCATTATGCAAAAACATTTTATTAAAAAGCAAAATCGTCGAATTGCATGCATATTATGTACATGTCAGTAACGATAATTACAGAAATGTTATGAGCATACCGATCTGTATCGGTACGTATATGTACATAAACTTTATCACAAATTACGTACATGTACGTATAAAGCTTGTACTAATTGAATGCACGGATAGCGCTTAAAGGTTTGATTATATACGTTTATTCTCAATATAATTAGAAAAAGAAATTTTTTTCAACTATATCCGGTCTAATTGAATGTTGGAATATTCGTCTTTTTCGATGAAATTACTATTGGAAGTTACTTATACTGGAAATGTTATCATTTTTTTATATAGGGAATTTGATAGAATTTTTCTCGCATTTATTCGGAACTTAACTCTCGTATTCTCGTTAGAATTAAATTTAGACGCAATACAATGGTGTCAATTGTGCATCGGATAATTCGATCTGAATCTTCATTAGCATCATTGTAGTAAATGTATATATTGTCGATATGAATATTGCTATAAATATTCATTTATAATACATGTACTCATGATAGCAGTACATGTGCTCGTGGTCAAGAAAATTAATTCTGCTTTGGATGTTTAACGAGTTTATAAAGCTGAATGGTCTAGCGAAAATCAAGACATCTACTGTCTAATAAAATAATTCGCGAAAATTAGCAATAGATATTTCGAATAGATTTTTTTTCTTTGAAAGATTCCTCAAAGCTGAATATCTTACAAAAGGAAGTCTTAGATCGATTTCTAAAGTACGGTTGGATAATTTCAACAGTTTGGATCATAGAAGAAGATGAATACAATCCTGTTGTGTTGAAATCACGTTAGAGTTTATAAAATGATAATTTCTAAAGTGTAAGTAAAATAGGTTGATTGCTTTTTTGTTTCTAATCAAATTAATCTTTTCAAAATGGTAACCTTCTCTAAAGTGCAACAACACAGAAAAGAGATTTTGTACATCATGATTTTCATTCACCCTAGAAATATATTATAGCTAGTAATGCTGAGTTTGGTTGGACTTACTGGCACAGTAGATATTAAAAACCTAGTTGAGACATTTACAGAGTTCTCACATAAGTCCAGAATTACTAAACGAAAAGCATTTTCAGTATTACAATTCTTCAAAGGTCAAAAAATTATATAAACTTGATGAGGAGATGGAATCGCAAAAAACAACAATTACATGTATTTCTAGATATAAATCATATTAACTTTTCATATATCAAATATTTCGGTTCTACAAGTGTCTGTTTATATACTCCAAATGATTTTAATTTTAGTATACTATCTAAAAAGAGAACAGCAAATTCGTGATGAAGAACTAGAATAAAATAAAAGAAGAACGCTGCTTTTTTGTTTCTAATGCAACAAATTAGATTCTGACTGGAATAAGTTATCATGGAATAAGCTACAAATGAATGAATACTTGATATTTATGACTTATGGTGATATATTATATACTAAGAATTGGCTTGGGAAAAATTCAAGCATTTAATATTAATTATTCTAGAAATACACTTTCACCTCGGAAATAAATCTAACCAAGAAATATATCGCGTTTTTCTTTACATGAGTCCAGAAGTACTAAACGAAAAACCAAATACTAAAGCTGCAGATATTGATAGTTTCAGGATGAGATAGATTGTAACAGTGAACAACTATTCGGTGAGCAGAATCATGATAAATATTTTGTATGCGTCACCTATAAAGTATACGACTTAAGGTACTAAATACTGTTCCTAGATGGTGCAAATTTATTATTGAAAAATTTAGTTAGGATCTTATTCTAAAAGATAGACCAACTGCTGAGAAATTTTCGACTTTATTTACTCTATTTCCTCTATCAACTATAACGAGAAGCGGAAACGGAATACTTTGCATTTTCAGTGCTACAGCTCTTTATAATATCCTAAAACACATGAAGAAATTATTTAGTGTCTTGAATTAGAAGGCAGCAATGGAAAGAGAGATGGAATCGCAAAAAAGCATTCCTACGAATACGAATAAAAACAAGTCGAATGAATCTTTATTTCAACAGTTACTTTTTTATTCCTAAATGTAATCGTATTGGAAGTTTATTGTACTGTAAAAAATAATACGTAACGATAACGATAAACAAAAGTCTTATTAAATGCAATCATAAGTACATGTATTAGGTGCTACAAATGTCAATTTACTTATTTGGATAAAATCAGAGAATACTGACACAAATTTATTATCGCTATCACTATGCTCCTGATGAATGCTAACTGATTTAAAGCATTACAATTAAGACGGATCAATATTTATTATTTAACGTTAACTATTGCTTTTGTTTCTACTTTTATGTGAATTTACATGATCTTATAATGCTACGTACTTTCTTGATCCCAGCAATTACTATACGTATAGTTCATCCAATATACATGATCTTATAATGCTACGTACTTTCTTGATCCCAGCAATTACTATACGTATAGTTCATCCAATATACATGAACTATAAATATTATTACACGTATAAATTAGAATCTATGCTAAATAAATTATAAAAGGCTCTCCTTTTACATAGCATTTTACCGTCATTTCAAAGTTTTAAATAAAACACGCCATGTATAAATCCAATACATGTATTTCGAATAGGCATGATTGCCCCATATCCAAAGAATTTACCATGCCGTACACTCTTAGATATACATGTATCAATATCGATATACTGATTTTATATATGTAATATATATCTGTATAGTCAAAATTCTCCAATGAAGTCCATGGTTTACGTGTAATATATTTGTACCACGAAATTTCTTCGCTATACGCTATATACAAATTCGTTATAGAGAACTCTGACTGTACCGCGAAATTTCTTCGCTATACCATAATATAGAGCACTAACTGTACGACCATAATAACTAAATCATCGCCCAATGTAACGTTTAGTTAGAAACGAATCATCAAGGACAGATCATTTACACTCGGACCTGCCTCACGAGCGGCCACACCATTCTCGTATTATCCTAAGTGGTGGTGACTATTCCGTTTAAACTATTCATGAATTGGGGTTACGGATTACCTCCAAAACGATTATAAAGAATATCTGACCAAAAAACGGACAAGTAATAACTAAATCACCGCTCAATGAAACGCTTAGTCAGAAACGAATCATTGAGGACAGATCATTTACACTCGGATCTGCCCCACGAGCGGCCACATCATTATCGTATCGTCCCAAGTGGCGGGGACTATTCCGTTTAAACTCAATAATCACGGATTGGGGCTACAGGCTACCTCCAAAACGATCATAAAGAATCTCTGACCAAATAAACGGACAAAGTTTTCTCTAATGGACCGATCCAATGCCTTCGGTATATAAAAATATTTGGATATCAGAAGACTGATTTTATATGCAATACATATTTGTTCAGTCAAAGTTCTCTAATGAAGTCCATGGTGCCTTCAGTATATAAAAATATTCAGATATCAGAAGGCTAATTTTAGGTGTAATATATTTATACCATGAAATTTCTTCGCTATACGCTATATACAAATTCGTTATAGAGAACTTTGACTCTACTGTGAAATTTCTTCGCTATATTATAGAGCACTTAAACTGTACGACCATAATAATCACCACCCAATGAAACGATTGGTCAGAAACGAATCATTGAGGACAGATCATTTACACTCGGACCTGCCCACGAGCGGCCACATCATTATCGTATCATCCCAAGTGGCGGGGACTATTCCGTTTAAACTCAATAATCACGAATTGGGCCTCCAAAACGATCATAAAGAATCTAACCAAATAAACGGACAAAATTATCGCTCAATGAAACGATTGGTCAGAAAACGAATCATTGAGAACAGATCATTTACACTCGGACCTGCCCCACGAGCAGCCACATCATTCTCGTATCATCCCAAGTGGCGGGGACTATTCCGTTTAAACTCAATAATCACGAATTAGGGTGGGCTACGACCTCCAAAACGATCATAAAGAATCTAACCAAATAAACGGACAAAATCATCGTTCAATGAAACGATTGGTCAGAAACGAATCATTGAGAACAGATCATTTATACTCGGGCCTGCCCCACAAGCGGCCACATCATTCTCGTATCATCCCATGTGGTGGGAACTATTCCATTTAAACTCAATAATCACGAATTGGGACTGCGAGCTGGTCTCCAAAACGATCATAAAGAATCTAACCAAATAAATGGACAAAATTATCACTCAATGAAACGATTGGTCAGAAACGAATCATTGAGGACAGATCATTTACACTCGGACCTGCCCCACGAGCAGCCACAT